TGAACAAGAACTCTCACTGCCTTGGCAAATTGCACCAATAGTACAATCAATTTGGATGTTTCCTAGTAGTTTTGACTCGTGTAAGTTTGTCTATGTACCGAGGAGAGGTAATAGGGTGGTAGACTAGGTTGCTAAGTATACTTTAAAGGTTAAACCCCCAATTTGGTCCCTGAACTATTGTATAGATCTTCGATTTGGTCCCTAAACTAAAAAAATTCCTGATTTGATCCCTGAACTATTGTATAGACCCCCAATTTGGTCCCTATTATTTACCAATTTACCCCAAGTTGGTCTTTCCGTTAAAAAAAAAAAGCTGACATGTCCATTACTTAACTGCGAAAAACAGTAACTTAATAACGAAAAATAGTAATTTAACAGTCACGTGTCACATTAATAACAAGACACATCAGTTAGTTTTTATACGGAATGACCAACTTGAGGTAAATTAGTAAACAGTAGGGACCAAATTGGGGGTTTGTACAATAATTTAGGGATCAAATCAAGGATTTTTTTAGTTCAAAGATCAAATTAGGGGTCCGTCCAATAATTCAGGGACCAAATTGAAGATTTAACTTACTTTAAATGGTTAGTGTCCACCCTATTGGGTGCAATCCCCACCACTTGATCTTTGTAACTTACTGTACTTGGATGCTTTTTCATGAGGTGCTAATATAATTTAACTTCATTTTTTTTTTAAAAAAAATTAATCCACAAGAAAAAAAAATTATGATCTTTTTTTTTTTTAATGGACCATGTTGACATAGATTAAAAAAGATATAATCTCTAGTTTCTCTTATATGTGTTACGCTAAACTGTAGTCTTATATTTTTTAATATAAAAATTGTATGTATATAATAAAAAAAAACTATAAGAAAAACAAAATCGCATAGCAGAAAATTCCTAAAGCATTGAAGAATCCTATCTTGACTTCACTCTTTTTCATTTTTATTATTATTACTAAAATTAATTTGCTCCCTTTTAGAGGAATCTTTTTGTCTATATCAGAGCATTGAAAAAGAATTTGAAATCATTTGATGACTAAGTTTATTTGTTGGTTTCTGTGCTTAGATACCATCTATTTGAGGTCAAGGATATTGTTAGATTCCCATCTCGATTTGCCTAAATAATTATCACTGGTGAATTTCATTTTGATGAAATTAATTGATTACTTTCTTTTTCAGATTTAAATAGTCCATTCTTCACCATCAAAATGCATCATTCAGGAGAATATATCGATATATCAAGGAAGTTTTATGTTGAAGGGGAGGTTGATTACTTTGATTTATGTGAGGTTAATATGTTTTCTATGGTTGTGATAGATAAGATGGTAAAGGCCTTAGGGCATAGTAGTAGCTACATCAGTTACTATTGGTTGTTTCTTGGAGCAGATTTGAATAATGGATTGAAACCTCTGGAGAATGAGGGTAATGTACTCGAAATGGTCTAGAATATACCCATTAACAAACATGTCTCTATCTATTTGGAGCATAAGACTAAGCAAGATCTATTGCTAGAAGAGAAAAAGCTAAAAATGGGAATGAAGACAATGGTTAAACAAAGGTTAAGTGATGTTGTAATTAGAGATATTGATGAGGGAAACAATGTTAGAGATATTGTTTCAAGAAACTACAATGAAGAAAGTGATGATGGCACTGATGATGAAGAGGAGGATGATGGTAGTAGTGGTTATCATGATAATGATGATGGGAATACAAACACATCCATGGAACTTGAATTTGCAATTGATCAAGTTGTTTCTTCCAATGTTGCTCTTTCTTGTCATACAACTCTAACCATAGTTGGAGGGAAAAAAGGAAAGGTCTCAACACTGTTAGCACAAAGACTATGATATATATGACAAGTTTCAACC